AACATATAATGCAACAAACAATTTGTATAATGCAACAAACTCTTGGAGTGGCTTCATTTTCCAAAGCACCCACAGGCTCTGTGAGGTTTGGTCTGGGAGAAACTGGACCTGACCCATCAATGTGAGGGTTCACCAGCTGGGGTTCCTGACATCCAAAATTGGTCACTAAATGGGTACCAGAGAAAAGTGAGTGATGTTTGAGCTTATTTTTTATCACAATTAGACAAAATCAATCTTCAGTTTTAGTCTCCTCACTAAAAAAAGTGCTGGAATGGGTCCAGAGCGGGGAAATGAAGCTGGTGAAGGATGTAGAGAAGCTGTTCTGGGAGGATTGACTGAGGCACCTGGGGATGTTAAATGTGGCAAACAGTTTTGACTTGTCCATAAGAGTTCAATACACGTGGCTGAGCTTTCCTGCCTTGTTAAAAGCTGCTCTAGGTATCCTTCCTGCTGGGTTTGGCGATGCCCTTCCCTGAAGAAAGCACTGGTAGTTTCAGGAAAATGTAAAATAATGGCAACAAAATTTTTAGCGGGGCCTGTAATGCCAGAGCAAGGGTTTCAAACTGAAAAAAGACAGATTTGGACTAGATATAATGAAGGAATTTTTCAATGAGGATGGTGAAACACTATTACAGGTTACCTGGAGAGGTGATGGATGCCTCATTTCTGGAAATGTTCAAGGCCAGGTAGGAGCAACCTGACATTGTTGAAGATGTCCCTGCTCAAGGCAGGGGGTTGGACTAGATGCTCTTTAAAGTCCCTCTCCAATCCAAATTATTCTATCATCCTACAGTTGTATGGTTCTATGAAAAACCCTGTTTTTCTGCAGATGGTTATGTCTGTGATATAGTAGGAAACACAGATTTAAAAGCAAACATTATGGAAAGCTGGATTTTTAAGAGAGGAGTATTGGTATTTTTCACAAAGAAAATGTATAAAGTGCCCACCAAAGCAATGATTTTGTAAATCCATTAGTAGGCTGGCAGTAAATTTCAAGATCTGCAATGCAAATTAAAAGCTTTATAATTAAAAATAAGGTTTTTAATAAAAAATACTGATTTCTGAACTACACATGAGAACATCTAGAAGAAAATTATCAGGAGAAAAAAGGAGCTAGTTCGGAGGAAAAGGTACCAAACACGTTCTAAAAGCTTGGATTTTACCAGAACTCCGAAATCTGCCTTTCCATGAGCTCAGCGAGCAGCAGAGGGCGCTGGGATAAACGGATTTCTTTTAAACTCCAGCCAACAATACGGATTTGTTGGGAGTTGGATACTGTGGGAGACAGACTTTCATTTATAGAGATCCATGCTAGATTTAAAAGGCAGGGCAGGATTTAAAGCCCATTTCTGAAACAGGGCCTTGATTGGGGGCAGGCAAAATTTGAAAAAAAAACCCAAACGTCAAACAATAATTCTGGAAAAAGCATATGAGATAAAGGTGGCATAACTTACTGAATTAAAATTAATTTTTTTCGAGTTCTCAACAAAGTAGACATCCTGTTGTTGTGAGTTCTCTCCCTCCCAGGGCTATGAACAGATATTTCATTGGGATAATTAGGATATTCAACCTAGTCTGTATTCTCACTGTTCTATAGTAAGTAATACTCATGGTATTGAACATGGGGTATAGAAGATTTATTCTGATTTTAAGGTAGAGGTTGAAACACCGAATGGCCTGTTAATCAAAAATCAATGTAAATAAGAACCTGCAACTTTATTCTTAAGGAGGAAAGATTCACATCAGCATCATTTCTAGCAGAGGAAATATTTGAGTGTTTGTAATTCCCAAATATGGACTTGGATCTCTTGCAGCAAGTACAGAGTAGAACACAAAGATGCTCCGGGGATTGGAGCAGACACGTTGAGAGAAGAGAAGGCTCCAGGGAGGCCTTAAAGCCCCTTCCAGCGCCTAAAGGAGCTCCAGGAGAGCTGGAGAAGGACTCAGGACAAGGAACTGGAGGGACACAACAAGAGAGAATGGCTTTAAACTGGGAGAGAGGAGAATTAGAATGGATATTGGGAAGAAATCCTTCCCTGCGAGGGTGCTGAGGCCCTGGCACAGGCTGCCCAGAGAAGCTGTGCCTACCCCTGGATTTCTGGAAATGTCCAAGGCCAGGCTGGACGGGGCTTGGAGCAACCTGGGGATAGGGGAAGGTGTGGCAGGGAGGTTGGAACAGGACGATCTTCCAGCTCCGTTCCGAGCCGGGGCGGCTGCGGGCAGCGAGTCCCCATCAGAGGGCGCCGGCGCTCCGCTGAACGCGCTCCGAGCGCCGCGGGCAGCGCCGAGCGCCGCTTCCTCGCCCTGGGCACGGCCACGGAGAAAGCCACCCTCAACAATAATAATAATAATAATAAAAATACATCCCTTTGCCGTAGTACCTGCCAGGCTGAGGCTGCAGCGCCCAGCTGAAAAAAAAACACCCGGTGTTTTCCATGGAAAATATTGGAAAACTGCCGGGAAAGGGATGGTTTTCCCCCTTTTTTTTTTTTTTGGTTTTTTTTTTTCTTTTTTACTTTTGAAAGTATGGGTTGTGGTGGTCAGTTTTGGGTACGTGTGCCGCCTTTTGGACTCGGGGTTCATTTCACGTGTCGTGAGGGATAAATCCGTGCAAGTGTTGCTGCGTGGAATTGCTGAATTAAACTGAAGGCAGCTGCGGAGGTGGGGGCGCAAAACAAGCACAAAAAACAAAATGTGAAGAACCTTACTTTTGCAAATGAAAGCTCGTTCGTTTTGGCATGTTTTGCAAATGGGAGACAAATGTGATAATAGTGGGGTTTAAAAGTCAGAATTTACTGTCTATACCAATATGTTAGCAAGGAGACAGTGGACGTCAATTCTATTTTAGGGTCTTCTTTTTTTCACTCCCCTCCTCTCCCCTCCCCCAGCTCGCAGAACGTATTTAATTCAGGGTGCCAAGGAATTGTGAAGCATTAGCCGTCACGAAGCTCATTCACTCTGCCCTGTGCCAGCCTTCATGACTCAAAGACTTCCACAAAAGTGATGGCAAACTGTCCTTTATGAGCTTGGTATTTTTCTAAGAGGGACATTCAGATCTATAGGGGAGTAAGGGCGGCTGCCTGGGTATCTCCGCACACCCCCATGCAAACAGCTGACATCCTTTCTCCTTTTTCAGCATTTTTTCACCCTATTGCCTCACTTGAAATGATCCAACCCACTCAAAGATGTGCCCTTTTTCTGCTCCTCCTCAGTGCAGCACCGGTTGTGCTGAGAACAAAACCTCGTATCTGCTTTAATAACTTCTAGCCAGAGCGTTGTCCAGCTCCTGCTGTAATATCTGGCCGCTATTTGCCTCTTGCCTGTTGTGGGTTGAGGCTTTAGGAGAAGATGCACACTGCGAAATGGGGAGGGGTGGCAGGGTAGTGTAGAGGCTGAGGGGGAAAGGGATGAATTTATGCTTTCTGCCTAAATTTGAGGCTAAAGCGAACAGAAAAAGCAAAGCCCACCCTTCCCACCAGCCAACCACACACCAGCAAATGTGTCTCCTGATGAAGTTCTCCTCGTTTCCGAGATTACATATATATATAAAAGCATCTTTACCTGTAGGACCTTTGAAAGTACAAAGGACACTGTGCACTTTCCCATAGGATCCCGTGCAGAATAACAAAGATTTGTAGGAACCTTACAGGTAGAGCTCGAAATTTCCAGAGATGGGACCTTGAATTTAGAAACACCTTCTTTCTCTCTGTCTCTCTGCCTCTGTGCATCATTTTTTCCCCATCTTTTTTCCCCTCCTGGTGCACCAGCCCACTGCAAAGCTCGATTGTTTCCTTTCAAAGGCAGAGATGGGCTCTCTGCTGCCTGTGTCGGCTCTTTGCCGCGCAATGTGTTAAAAAAATCGGACAATGCGAAGGAAGGTTTGCCTGGGGGGAGAGAAAAAAAAAATAAAGGTTAAAACTGGTCTAACTCCTCCTCTCCCCTTCCAAACCATGGGCTACCTGTGAAATGCACAAATACAACTCTATTTTTTAATCGTTTTCTGAAAGCAGTAAATGCTATTCAAATGTGTACATGGAAGGGTTTGTAAAACTCCTGTTTTTTTCCCTTTATTTTTTCCCCATATTAAGTATTTCTAAGTTATAAAATATACAGTCCAAGCCTGAAGTCTAAGGCTTTCCAGTGGAAATCATTGATCTAAATTTGCTCCTTTTAGATTTGTTTGAATGTGCTTTGATGAGACGCTGTTTTGGTGTTAAACTGCATATGAGAGGATAATTTCTGGACATGTAAATAAAAGCATATTGCATGTGGGGAAAAGCATCATATCTTGTTGTAAATGATGAATCACTTAGTGCAGAGGCAACTTATCCTTTATTTTATCTTAAGGAGGATTGGAAAATACTAATTTAATTTCATCTATCTGTCTGTCTATCTATCAATGCATCTACTAAAATAGCAGATATGTGCACTGCATAATGTGTGTATTTAATCCCTCTATACCAAGATATATATGTGTAAATGTATAACTAGATTCACATATAATCATTTAAATACACTCCCATATAAACTAACCAGGTTAGCGTGCACATGTGCATATGTAACATGCAGTCTCCATGTGCCCACATGTGGAAGAATATATATCATTTACATATCTAAATGTGGCAACTAATATGTCTATACACGGGGAAAAGTTGCCTGTTCAGAGATATACATGTGTACGGGTGCCTGTATGTGTAAATCTGTGATGGTGCAGCTCTGTGTATGTATATATTTTAAATGCCTGCATGTAAGTCTCTATATGTGTGTATATGTCTATATCTAGTCACATATATGTCTGTAGCTATATGTAACTCTGTAACAGAGAATGTTTTTTACTATCCGATTGAGGTAGACTTCTGCAGCCTATTGTTTCAGACAACAGATATAAGTTGCGATGGAAGAGGAACGTCGGATTTGGTGTCTGTCCCCCATTTCCAATTATAGATGGATCATTACAGACAGAGAAGTACTGAGAATCCAGACATCTGCTCTTCACATGAATGCACTCACCTCCTAGAGAACAGCCTGCCATCATGCTCTGGAAACTGGTTGAAAATGTCAAGTATGAAGATATCTACGAGGTGAGTATATAATATGCATATGAGTAAGAGAGTATATGTATATTTAAATATACATCTAGCATATAGATACGGGCATGGCTATATAATACATATATAGCTCTACATATACATCCAGGCAGAAATAGATATATACACCAGTACACAGGAATATAGAGATGTGAAACAGAAAGTAGATGCTTAAATGCTTATTTATTTGCATATTTGTATTCAGCATGCCAAGTCCTAAACTTTTTATTTTTTTTTTTTCACGGAAAAGCTGTTTGATGAGATTTAAAACATCAAAGAAATGATCTGGGGATTGGAATGAGGCAACTTAAAAGCAAGAGTTTGATTGTTTAGACCTCCAATTATATATAATTCGATTAAATACGGACAAATGTGGAGGAAAATTTTTAAAAGAGAGAAAAAAAGAAAAGAAACACAATCCGGTATTCAGGGACTGAATGCATTTCTTTCTTTTATTTTTTATCTTCCAATTCCAAGCTCAGATACACCCGAATATGGATTTTTTTTATTATTGTTTTTTTCTTGTTTTCACAATCGGATATGTTTTTTACGACTTTTTAATACCTCTACACCAACAGATAAGATGTGCATGTGTACATATACTGGCATTAATTTAGCGGCACATACATTCTGGTGCGTGTGTGAGTTCACACACCCGAACCGGTGCAGTCAGAGGCGGCTCCGCATAGTCCGCGGACACGAAAAGTTGTGAGCTTTATCCAGACCTTATTTTCGAGGTCAAAAAGAAAACCAAGGGGGGAGGAAAAAAAATATCACAGCTCAAACACTGCGAAACCTTTCTTAATTTTGCACGGTTTCCTGAGTCGGATCTTTCCCAAACGGGCTCCGCCAGTGTATTCCTTGTAAGTTAAACCGGCGTGCGGGATTTTCTCAGAAAGGAGGTGGGGGGGAAAAAAAGAAAAAAGCTGAAAAGGTGAGTGAGGATGGCGCTTCACAAAATATTTCAATTTTTTTTCTGTTGTTTTTATTTTTTAATTGAGTGGGAGGCGTTTGCACGGCGATCAGGGGGGAGATTTTCAGAAGGGCGCAATCCGCCACCTCCAGCGCGGGAGCTGCTCCGAGGGGAGGCGGCCGGGCAGGGACCGGGGACCGGAGCAAGGAAGGGACCGGGGACAGGACAAGGGCCGGGGATGGACTGAGCGCTGAGCAGAGACGGGGAAGGAGCAGGAGCCGGTCAGGGACGTGGCAGGGTCTGGGAAGGGACTGGAGATCGAGCAGGGATCAGCGACGGAGCAGGGAGCGGGGACTGAACAGAGGCCGGGAAAGGACCGAGACCGGGAAAGCGACCGGAGACAGGGCAGGGACTGGGAACCGGACAGGAGCAAGGAGCGGGCAGGGGCTGGGTACCAAGGAGAGAAGGGATACAGAGCGAGAGGTGGCTACTGGGCAGAGGCCTGGGATCGGGCAGCGGACTGGGAAGCAGACGGGCAGGAGCCGGGCAGGGCTGGGGATCGGGAAGCGGCCGGAGCCCCCCGGGGAAGCGCCGTCGGGGCCGCCCCGTCCCCAGCCCCTCCGCGCCGCCCGCAGCCCTCCCATCCGGGAGAGCCTTGGCACTTACAGAGGGAAAACTCCCGGGAAAAGCGCAGAAAGAGACCGAGGGAAGGTACAGCTCCGGCTGCTGGCGGCCGGAGAAAGGAAGGGATGGAGGGAAGCGGGGAGGGGACCCGCCGGCCGCACGGGAGAAATGTCTCACTCCTAAAAGCTGCCGTCAGGCTAATTACCGTGGGCAAAAGCCAGCATTTGCAGAAGGAGCAGAGAATGAGCGCACATGTGTGTGTGTGTGTGTGTGTGTGTGTGTGTGTGTGTGTGTGTGTGTCCCCGCGTGTCCCCAGCCCCCTAAGCCCTCGCTGCTTTTCCCTGCCCATCTCCCGGCGCAGCCCGGCCATTGTCTCTGCCCGCAGCAGCAGGCGACAAAACATCTCCCGTCCCTGCTGCCGAGGGATGAGGTATTTTTTTCCACCCTGCTTTTGATGGGGGGGTTTAAGGCCCTGGGAGTTTACAGACACCCACGTCTGTAGGTTGCTGTGGGAGAGAAGAGCTGGGGGAGCGGTTGGGTGGGATTTGGCCTCGGGCAGGCTGTATCCTAACTTGGGGATGCGCTCCAGGGCATTTTGTAATTTTTTTTTTTTTTTTTTTTAAGACCTGAAACCCTCTAGATCTATGTTAAAAAAATATTTCTCTCTCTTCATTCCGATGTGTAATTAACAACACGATGGTAGAGGCGTCTCAGCCACTTGAACTGAATCTGTTCTTAAAACAAAAGTGTGTGTGTGTGTGTGTGTGTGTGCGTGTGCGTGCAGGGGGGGCAGCTCTGGGAAGTGTGAGTCTATTTAGGAAGGAACGTAAGTTGAACTTTAACAGAAATGGCAGACAGTCCAGTTGAACGGGTTCCTGCAACATCAAAAAGGTTTTATATCGCCCCTGGCTTTGCCTCAAAACTATAAATTTACTATCCTTTAAAATTCACTCCATGCATTTCACGTTTGGGTGGAAATCGGGAGAGCTATGTACGTATATGTATATATATTTCATATCAGGCGGCAGAAAGATGATTCAGACAAAAAAAAAAAAAAAGAAAAAAAAGAAGTTGAGCCCAACAATGCAGATTCAAATATTTATTTGGCTATTGTGAATAAATATGATATGTAACACGCACCAGAAAGGCTTAATCTTCGCTGTAAATAGACGTGTGTTACAGTGACTGCACGTTTCTTCTTCCGTTCCTTTAAAAAAGTAACAAAAAAAAAAAAAAAAAAGGAAAAAAGAAAAGCCTCTTTTTCTTCATTATTTGCTCAAAAACCCCAATACCAAACTGCAAGAACAAAAGCACCAAAGGCAATCAATTACTCATATTAGGAATGTATCATTAAATATATATTAAAACGAAAAGGAAATATACTTTTCTCTTCTTCTTCTTCTTCTTCTTCTTCTTCTTCTTCTCCGCCTCAAGCATTGCTTCATCTCGTTCCTTGCTCCAGCTCAGCAGTCTCTACTTTCCGCATCTTCCTCCGCTCGAGTTAATTGAAGTTCTGCCTCTTCCTCGCGAAACTTTTTCCCCCCTCTCCCTCTCCCCAAACTCTGCCTCTGCCAGCCCCCCTCGTCTGATTACATCTAGTAATTCTCCACTGAATGAACGTCATTTACAATAGTAGGGGAGCTCTCGAGCTGGCTGCCAGCTTCACGCTCCATTTGGTCCTGCATTCTCCCTTTAAAGTAGTCGTGTAATATTAATAGTCATGAATATCAATTATTATGAGGCGGTGTAGAGAAGGAAAGGGAGGAAGGGGTAGCGGAGCAGTCTGAGCCTAGCCTTGGGTTGAAGAGGATTGTATTTGGGAGCTCAAAGGCAAAAAAAAAAAGAAAAAAAGAAAAAAAAAACCCAAAAAACCAAAACCAAAAAAAAAAAACCCAAAAAACAAAAAACAAAAAAACCAAAAAAAAAAAAAAAAAAAAAAAAAGAGGAAAAAAACCCCGAGAGGGAGGGGTAAATCATATATGTAGATAGAGGTTTCCAGGCTCGGTTTTGGGGGCACTGGTCTTTTTTTTTTTCTTTTTTTTTTTTTTTTTTTTTTGGTTTTTTTTGGTTTTGGTTTTTTGGGTTTTTTTTTTTTTTTTTTCTTTTTAAACCTTTTTTTTTTTTTGATGGATAGACTTCGAAATATCTCAAGCTGTTCTCCTGTGTCCAACACGTCCCTTTGCAGATCTCCTTGATATTTTTCCCTCCAATTGTTAGTATTATCACCATTATTTTATTTTTAGCTATTACAAGACTTTTTTTATTTCCAGATGTTAGTCCACACCTATTCCGCCATGGTGAGTTTGGATCCATGTTGTACTAGAATTGCATGTTCTCTCTCTCTCTCTCGATCTGTTGTGTCTCTCTCTCCCTCTCTCTGTCTTTTTAAACGCCTTTGGCTTGGTAATTTAGCACAATAATTGGAGGAGGCTTGCAGCTGCTTCTCCCTTTTTGCATTGTGTGTTCCCGATTTGAGCTAGGGGAGTCTGGGGGGGAGAGCAGGGGGAAAAAGAACTTTTTTTCCTTGTTGTTTTTCTTTTTTTTTTTTTTTTTTTAAAGCCATGTGTGCCATTGCTTGTGGGGGTTTGAACTACACTTTGTGGAATAGATATTTTTCTTGTTTACTTTAACCTCGCAGCTTCAGTGTGTTGGAGTTGGACAAAACTCCTCTCCCACCTTTTTTCTGAAGCCTCTACACACTCCCCCCACCCCCTGTCCCCCCCACACACCCCAAAGACTTTTCATTACAATTAACCCCCACCCCGTCCTCCGGAATATAATATTGGAAAAGGAAACAAAAGACACTGGAAGTTGCTGCAGAAATCATAGCGCCTGGATGTTCAATATCGATGATTCATTTTTATTTTATTTTTTTTTTATTATTATTTTAAGGGGTAGACTCCCTTTAAGCAAAGATTCCCCGTGATTTTTATTTTGGCTTTTTTTTTTTTTTTTTCATTTTCCCAAGTTATTTTTCGGACAACTTCTCACCTCGGAGTCTTCCGAGAAGTGCAACTTTCTTTTTGGGCTTTTCCACGTGAAAATGGGTTGGTGATTTTGAGTTACAGGACTTGAGCAGAGGGAATAAACAGATGCTGGGAAACTTTAGGCAGGAGAAAGGGTGGGTTGTCTGGATAGACGGGTGGTTTGGTGCTCTTAATTTTTAAATGTTTTCTTTTTTCCCCTTTGGTTTGATTTGAGGGGGCTGTGGATAGGGAATTATGCTACTGGTCTGGAATTGCAGATCGTACAAGTATTTGGAGCACTAGTCCTACATTTTTAATTATGACATTTAGCAATTCTCCCTCACACCCCCTCCCCTTCCCCCTCCTTGATAGTTCCTGGGAATAGACACGACGTGGGTGCAAAACATTGGGACATTTCTAATAAGTTGAGGGAGAAGGGGGCACATCTGAATCCCACTTTCCAGCTGTTTACATCCTATTTTATTTTATTTAACTCCGGGGTGGGTTTGTGCCCCTTTTGATATTTCGTGGGTTTTTTGTTGTTGTTTTTTGTTTTGTTGGTTTTTGGGTTTTTTTTTTTTTTTCCTAAAAAAGCTCCTCTTTTTTTTGTTGTTGTTGTTCGTATGTCGTTCCGCTTGTAGGACCGGCATGATGGAGTGCCCAGCCACAGTTCCAGGCTGTCCCAGCTGGGATCCGTCTCGCAGGGACCCTACTCCAGCGCTCCTCCGCTCTCTCACACCCCATCCTCGGATTTCCAGCCGCCTTATTTCCCACCCCCCTACCAGCCTCTTCCTTACCACCAAAGCCAGGACCCTTACTCCCATGTCAATGACCCCTACTCCCTAAACCCCCTGCATCAGCCCCAGCAGCACCCCTGGGGACAGAGGCAGAGGCAAGAGGTGGGATCAGAAACCGGGTCACTGCTGCCACAGCCTCGGGCCGCCCTGCCCCAGCTCTCGGGACTGGACCCCAGGCGGGACTACCACTCAGTACGGAGGCCAGATGTCCTCCTGCACTCAGCTCACCATGGCCTTGACTCCGGCATGGGGGACAGCCTTTCTCTGCATGGCATCGGACACCCGGGCATGGAGGAGGTCCAGGTAAGGCACCGCGCTCCTTTCTCCTGGGCAGTGCAGCGGGAGGCCCCGTCCCTGGGCTAGGAATGGTCACTGAGGGATTTCCAGCAATATTGCTGTGGGTTGCCATTCTTTTTCCACACCGGTTTTGTGACTCTGGTACTCCCCCTCCCTCTTCCTTTATTTTTCTATTTTGGTTTTTTTTTTAAAAAAAATTTATTTCCTCGCTGTCACGCACAGGCTCTGCTTTATAAACCCTCATGGCAAAGCAGCAAAGTGCAGGGGGAAGGCAGACATGCTGCTCTAAATATTCCACGTGTTTCAAAAGCTGGCAGAGTTCAAGCTTGGCTTTTCAAATTCCAGTTATTTCCCATGCAATCTCATCTTCCACTCCCTTCCACCCTCCCCCTCCTCCCCCCAACCAATTTCCTGCCGTCGTTCAGAGATTTTGATGAAACTGTCGAATTACTACATTTTTCATCCGGGAGGGAGGGAAATTATAAACAAAACCCAAATCAAAAGCAATAATTGGTGATCAGGAACAAGTCCCTTGCCCGTCCCCCCACCCCCTTATTTGTTAAGTGTGCTTGGTAAGATAGCGTTGATTTTAAATAGTTTCATTCCTTCTTTTGGATAACAAAGGAGTTTCGCCGGGCTCAAAGCACAGTATTTCCCAGCTTTCTTCCATCCCACGCGAAACTCAGCATCACGTGTTATTCCCTAAAAACAGAAAGGACCCTTAACAGCTTCGCTGCTGGGGCGGTCTGCACCTTGCTGGAGCAGAGCATGGCCAGCCCGTGGGGACCCCTGAGGCGGGGGCTGGAGCCTCCAGGGTCCAAGTCCTGCCTCAGACTCTCCTAATCGAGATTTTGGGGATCCCTTACATACGTTTTTATCTTTTTTTTTTTTTTCCCAAAAGAATTTTCTTTATCATATATCATATCTGTATATGCATTTGGTCTTGGGATAGATAAAGGTATGGACCACTGAATGAAACAACGACTTCAAAGTTACAGAAAGGGAAAAAGAAAGGGGGAAAGAGGAGCTGGGAAGATAAAAATTAGCCGTGAAAAAGGATGCTGCTGAACATGAGAGGAATGAGCGGCAGAGAAACGGAGCGGATGCGTTGCTTTGGCTTGAGGCTTGTCTTAGGGCCGCACGGGAAAATCCCCGAGCTTTGCTGGGGGGAAATGTTTTAGAAAAAGAAAGGTTTTGCTGTTTGGATTTGCTCCTGCCTCCGAGCTCAGTGGCCGTCGGGTCGCTGCTTTCTGCGGGTTTCCGAGGTGGCTTTGAGACCTGGGGGCAGCCCCTGGCCGCCGGGGGTGCGATGCGCAGGTCTCGTCTCGCATTCCTGGCTCAGACAAAGTGGTTTGCAAGTCAAGGCGAGTTTTACCTCTGTGAATGCAGAAAGCAGATCGCTCTCCTCCTTTCTCTCTGCAGCCGATAGGGTTTAGGTACTGTATGTGCCCGGGTATTTACACTTTCCCCAAAGCCGGCAGTTGTTGTGCTTTTGTGAGAAAGAGAGTAAAACAGAGGAGAGGGAAGAAAAGAGATTAAAAAAATAGAAGAAAAATAAAATACAGAGAGGAGGGAGGAAAATAATAGAAGATAGAGAAGAGAGGGAAAGGAGGGGAAAAGGTAGGAAAAGAAAGAGAGAAAGACATAGAGAAGGGAGAGAAGAAATAATGGGAAAGAAGGAGCTCAAATAAAGCAGTTCTCCATCAGTTTCCCAATAAAACATCCCTTCTGCGGGAAGGGCTCTGCACTGGAGGAAAGTGCCTCCCCACGGTGCTCTGGGAGCATCGGGGCCACCCGCGGCCACCCACGACCTGCTGGCCGGGGCTGGTGGGGCCAGGGTGGGCGCGATGGGGTGGGGATAGGACGGGACAGGCGAGGCTGGGACCTGCAGGGCTGGGGTTCTGGGTTTGGGGTACTGAGAGACCAGGAAATTAAACAGGCCCTTTATTTCCGAAAGTTTGTTCCCAGGTTGGGGGAGGAGGGAAAGAGGCAGAGGAGGGTATCCCAAGGAGAAACACGTGAAGGAAGAGGTGTCCAACTGCAAGTTAACGCAGGCAGGAGGGAAAGCAGCCCAAAACTCGCTGCTGCCACTCAGCATTTTCTATTCTTGTCCCTCCACTAGTGACAGATGAAGTTGGGCAGTTTTCCATCTTGATATTTAACATGGATTTTTTTCTAGATTCGAGGAACCTTTTCCAGCAACAGGAATTTTTATTCAGGCCATGTATACTCATTATCCACCGCCACTAGATATAATTTTCAGGAAGGGTTTCAGATACTAGTTTGTTTGGTTTTTTTTTTTTTTTTCTTATATCAGTTGTCCAAAAAGTTGAAGGGGCATCTAGATGTACAGTTGGATAAAGATGTTTCTCTTTGCTGTAGCTTATGCATGTCTGATTAAATATGTGCCATGAGAATGGGCTGGGCTGAGGAGAAGAGACAGAGAAAGAGAGTGCGTGACAGAAAGAAACAGTGGTTATTTTATAAACACCAAATCCAGTCCATGTGTGAGCCATTGTCCAGGGCTAGAATTAAGTGATTGCAACACGATAGCGCTCTGTTATTGTAAACAGGACACACTGTATTGCTATTGCTGCCCCTCTCGAGAGGAATTTTCAGTCCGCGATTTACAACCTTCAGACAGGGAACAGAAAAGCCAAGACCTACTTATTGAACAAAAATTTGCATCATCTAATAGGAACTCTGAAAAAAAATCCACCAGATATTTTTCCCACCAGCTGGGTTAAAGTAGGATTACAGTGATAAAGGATTCGATGAAGGAAAAATGGAGGGGAAAATTCAGATTCTGTAGACCCTTTGAAGGAAAATAGAGAGCTCAATTTTAAGGTTTTCAACCAGATGTATCCACAGAAGTAGAATAAGGTGGTTATAGGTAGTACTTAGGAAGCTTCACGCTATCAGATTATTGGAGGAGGGAAGGGAGGGGAATCTTCCTCTCCAGATTTTCCAAGTATATCTGGAAACTCATCACCTTTCCCCTCCCTGCACACACACCTCCGCTGCTCCTCCTCCTCCTCCTCACTCACGCTGCTACTACGTACTAGCTAGAGACACGGAAAGTTAAGTTGCACCAAAACACCCAAGTCTCTTATAAAGTAACCCCTGGTATCACTTTTAACTAAAGAAGTCTAGTAATTAAAAGTCTGAGTTGTTTTTCCACGTTTCCGCATGCAGTCCTAATTAAATCTTTACGATCCTCTCTGTGACTATTAACTGCCAGCATGCTGAGCGAATATCCTGTACAAAAACCCAGCAGGAGGGCGTAATTAGATAGAAAATCAGACAGGAGTCTTCTCATTAACTACAACAACTAACCCACGTTGCTGATGGAGCGAGCTGAGTGCACGCACACGCATAAAGGGTGCGCGCAACCATCGACTCCAGAGATAAGGTGAGATAAGGAGGAAAGAAGGGAAGAAAAAAAGAAAGAAAAAGTGAAGGTGATGTTTCACGTTTACCTCCGTTTCTGTGCCATCGAGGTGCGCCACGCTGCACTCCAGCAGGCTGCAGGATTCGCTCATCATCCCTCGCTGGGAGCTGCTCAGGGAAAGGAGGGAAGACTTTGTAATTTTATTTTGTGCCCTTTAGGTATGTAGCCTATTGATTATGAGAGAGAGACACACAGCCATGCCCAAACACAGCACATAAGGCACCGCTCCGTGTGTGCGCTCGTTTGAGGGTGGATTCAAGGAAAATGAAGGGAAAGCTCTCATAGAAAATATTGTTCCATGGTATTTTGGGGAAATGTAATTTTCTCCTAAACTGCATTCCATCTGGAATGTCTCCGCTGAGCACAGAGACCGAGATAAGGGCCGGATCCGAACAAGCTCAGCTTCTCGGCATAGCAAAGATAAAGTTAAAATCATGATGCAGGAAATCATTGCTTTGCTGGAAAGGTGTTTTGCTTATCAAGGAAAAACGTGACAACTCCCCAAATGTGCAATATCACTGAAAAACCCAAGCTCTTTAGTAATAGTAATGGGAAAAATAAAATAATAGAGCCAAGAAACACAAAGGTCCCCCTTTACCTCAGAATTTACCCTAAAACGGAACCTGTCAGATATCTGCTATAAATTGTTCTTATGACACCTCTTCTTTTTCGGACATGGCTTTACTGTGCCGAACGCAGATTCAGCAGTAATTTTGGTTTGTTGGGGGGGGGAGGGGGTTTGTATATCCCACTTTCGTTTTGAGAAATGAAACCCAACATTTTCTGTGTCCTCTGTGCCCGTCTTTGTTCTCTTCCCTGCTAAAGAAGTTAATGCCATAATAACAGGTGTGCTCCTCGGCAGGCTGGAAAGAAAGGGGGGAAAAAGGGGGAAACGAGGCTTTGAAATTCGGAGACTTTTTTTCCTAGGCAATCAATTTGATGGTTCATACTTTTGATGATGTGTATTCCTGCTCCTCCCTCCCCGTCTCCACTAATTCAGGACATGGAAGCAACCTCGGGAGCTGTAAATCTCTTTCTGCTCGTCCCCTGTATGATGTGGGCGTTGCACTGCGCTCCGAAAGTCTCAGGCTTTAATTAAAAGTCCATAATGTAAACTATGATATATAAAACGTAAATGGCCCTTGAATTAGTAAGATGTAGCAGGGTTAAACAAACAAACAAACAAAAAAAAAAAAAAGAAAAACAAAAAAGAAAAAGAAGGAGGGGGAGGAAAGGGGAGGGAGCATTTAAGTTGTCCTTAATCGTGTTCATTTATGTCATGCAATAGATCTTGCAGATGTTGCCAAATTGCCACATTTTCAAAAGAAGAAATATAAAGCTTTATGGAATGCAAAGAAGTCTATGTGATATCTATCTTTTATAAGATAACAAAACCAGTATTGCACCCCATATGCTTCACACCTCCTTTTGTTTTATTAGAAGACTATGTAATTTGTAAGAATTTAATTTCCTTGTCGATTGGGGGAAATAATAGTAACAAAAACAACAATAATAATGATAATAATAATAATAACAGCAATTAAAAAAATCCCTCCTCCCCTAATGAATTAATATAAATGGAAATAACAGGGACTCCAGTTTGGAATGACATGATTTATGTACGCGATTCTTTAATATCCAGTCAATTTGAATAGTGATGTTTTTATATCCACAGTCAGTTGAAGATGCCAATAACAGCGGTATGAACTTATTGGACCAGTCTGTCATTAAAAAAGGTATGGATTATTCCAACAAGCTAGACAAACTTTTACTGTGTAGCGATATCTTCATGAAATATTTTGACTTTGGGGCAATGAATTTCTCCGGGAAGCAGGCACCCATGGCAGCAAGATGAATAGTTGATTGGATCAGCAGATAGAGTGAAGGGATAAGACATGAGAAAGGAAAAGTTTATATCCCCGCCTCCCCCGCCCTTCAAAGGGTTTAATTACACGAATGCTCTCTAATGGGGCACCCCGTGCTCCAATGCAATTTCCACCGCCCCCCTTCCCTCCCCTTCTCCCCCCGATGCTCTTCGGTGGGGACCCCTTGGCTTTTAATGGGGGAAGGGGTTGATTCCCTTTGGGGCTTAAATGCATTTCCCAGGCGAATCAAACGCGGAGAGGAGAGAGAGAGAGATGCCCATGGAAAGGCAGACTCAGCCCCCTTCCCGCTCCCCCCAAGATTCCCCCCTTCCCCCAAGATTCCCCCCTTCCCCGTGCCCATTTTTTACATCTTTCTACATATGCGCCCATGATTTAGTGTAACTGCAGAATCACCCCATACTGTTAAAGCGAATGTGATATTAACAAATGTTTGCAGTCTCTTGTACAGCTGTAAGCAAAATAATTAACTAATTAAACTAATTAAATGTAATTACAATAACTCATTTTGGGCGTATTGCAGCTGCTTAATTTTTTTACATTTCTCTGACAGTCACTCGAAGATGCTTTGCGATTAGTGTTGTGTTATGCTGATAGACATTAAACAGATCACGCGCTGCAAATGGAGGGAAAGCTATCTTTAATTATCTAAGGAGTTTCTATTTCTAGATTCAATTTTAAGTACCAGAGATGAGGTTTAAAAACGCTGTCCCTTATGCTTACTATCAACGGCACTTATCACCAGGACCTTGTTATTTGTCAAATGCGCACAAATAGTTTAACAGCGACGATTTTCTAGGATGTAAAGCAAAATAACAGGGAGGGTGTTTATCCAAAATGTGTTGAAGGCAGCATGAGGTCTTTCCGTGTATTTATTATTTGTTTTGTTGTTGGTTGTTTGGGGTTTTTAATTTTTTGGGATTTTTTTTTTTTAAATTTAAATATCCATGGTCTCTCTTTCACACACAAGATCCAGGTCTGGTTATTTGAGCGAGGACTAATGAAAGCTTGAAGGTCATTTGACAGCACCATTTAAACTTTAAAAAGAAAGAAAGAAAAAAAAAAAAGGTTGTATGTTTCTGCTGTTTTGGTTCAGTTTGAATGTTTGGTGGGGTTTATCCTCAAGGTCTGTAACCTGATGGTTTCTGGTTGTATTTTAACTTTTTTTTTCTCTCACTCTCCTCCCTCTTCCCCACCCCCACTTGACACCTCATACACTCCCTCTTGGGTGCATTTGATTAATTAGCACTTGATTTGTGGTCGAGAGACTCCTTCCTAAGGTTGTTCCATGATGGTCTTTCGCAGAATACACAATCCAAAATACTCTATTTAAAAAAAAAAAAAAAATATTTCTTTTATTTTTCCCTTAACACCCAGCACGCCCGTGTCTCTCCCTCCTTCAGCTGACGAGGACAGCGGAGACATTCCATGTGCGTGCTGGGTGGTGCAATTAGACAGCGAGTGGCACTAGAATGTGAATGCCTGCAATTATTACGTATTAGGTAGAGGCTTTTATATGCATTAGGCATATATTTAGGTGTGCTTCGTGTGTGTGGGCATTGCACGGCCCCAGACGGAGCAGCTGCTGCCTGAAGAGACCCAGTCCCATCTAGGTGGGATTACTTGTGCCTATTTGCAGCCAGAAGAGATACTCTGAGTTAACGCATGATGAACAGGAGACACATGCTCTTTGGAAATAAGGTTACTAAGAAAGAGCCCGAGATGCATTTGCAACTCTTTAAAAGTCACTGTTAGTAGCATTTTCTTCCTTAGAAGTAAGGCTGAGCTGCAAGAAACTTTCCATCATAAAGGAATATTGTATTTTTTTTTCATTCCTTTTTTTTATTTTTTTTTTTTTTAACAGTGAGTTCCCTGGGTGCAGAAGAAGAGAAATGGGTAATAAATAGCAGGTCACATTTGTGGCAGTCAATATTTAATCAGGACGAGGGAAGGAGCAACACAGCATTCAGTATCAATTTCGCTTTGTTCCCTGCAGTTTGTAGCTGTGAGGGTGTACTTTGAAACAAGAACAAGTTATTTAAACTCTGTGAGTCGTTCTTGCAGGCAGATGGCACAGACAGATACACAGACACACAGGTATTGACAGATTTTTGTGCAGTGGAACACTCCTGTGACTCATATTCTGTAGACGAGGGTTGCAGGGGGTCTGCTCCACCCAATCCCAGTTCAGTGCTTAAAATTCTTTCATTGCAAAGTAGTGGGAAAAGTATGATGGGGACTTGAAGCCTAAACTTAATTATATCACCCAGGCTGTGTCTGTTTCTTTATGGCCTCTGAGGCCTGCAGAAGGAATTATCTCTCTATGCAAAAGGTTTGCCAAAATATTAAGGAAATTATATAGGGATTCATACACGGCTATTGATTTGTCTCACATATCGATCCCACACAACAGCTTAGATATACCCAGGCTCTTGTTATGTTTGCTATCCCAGCTTACTTGACATTTCTGAAGTAATTTAGTTAAGAGGAAATGAGTTGTTCCCAGTAGAGAGAGCAAACGAGTGGAGTGAAGGTAGCCAGCGTGATAAATGGCTCTTTCATTTGGAGATCTCCAGAGCTCGTTTAAGGCTAATTTTCTGTATTAGCCCCCTTTGAGCTATTAATGCAATAGGCAGGGACCGTGGCCCCTTGTCTCTTAGCTGCCCCATTAGAGCGAGCATTAAGCTACCAAGCCTGAACTCCACCGTGGTGTTGGTGGTGGCGCTGAAATAATGAAAGGTGCTTTTTAAACTCCCCTAATCTAAACTGGCAGAGGGTGGTTAATACGATTTGAAGGGGGCTGGTCAATGAACAATCAATAAACTAATAATGAGAAGGATGCGGTACATTAACAGTCTAAAAATCCAACGAGACATTAAAAAATCATCTTTAACTCCCACTTCCATTAAGATTTGGGTGGTGGAAGTGGGAGGGAGCGAGCCAGATAAATCACCAAGATGATAATAATCACCAAGAGCATTAATATCAGATTCAACTCAGCTTTCAGAGCTTACCGGCTGCACGTTTTTAGGCCCTTTGCCTCGATTTTTGCTGAAGAGGTTTGCCATGTGTCAGGAATAAAAGACCGGGTCCCCTTGTCAAATGCTCATCTGAAATTTCCTTGGCACTCTCTGTGGTGAAAGAAGTTGTCTTCCTGCAAAACCTTACGTGGCCTGAGTCCCAAGTTAATTTTTTGTGACTCTGGGGCACAGTCAGTGACCTTAAAATTATTCTGATGTATTTATTTACTTTCAGCTGTTTCTGATGATCGTCTGCACACTCACATCTGATTTAGCATGAAAGGCCATTTTAACTTGAAGACCTTAATTCATGGTCTTGCAAACACGTTCCCTTTTTCCTCCTATTTTAAGGAAACACATGAAAGAAGGTGTCTTACCCTTTTGTTTTTAGCTGTTAATAATCCAGCACGAGTTTCCTCCCCACCCCTCGGAACAGCTGATCAATGATTAACTGAGAACCACTCTGGCCTCAGCTTTTCAGGTGATAGATCTGGGGCTCAAGAGATGGTGCTTCAGTGCCACTCGGTTTCGTGCTTATTCCCGGGTTACCCACTGAACCTGAGGATCCCCTTTAATTAAATGCAAAACAGTTTCGAGGGAATGCATTCCACCTTGAAATTCAGTCCCAGCTTTAGGGGAACGGGGACTGCGGTGGGGGAGAGAGGCTGGAGGAGAGGAGGGGACGAAGGGGACAGAAGGAAATGCGAGAGGAACGCGCACTTTTTGTGTTTGTCCCTTAAAATTAAGATAAGATCCGAGTCTCTTCAGTTTCAGCGTCTAAGACGCTGCTCCCGGACGTTTTAGGCTTGGCTACTGAGTCAGACCGAATCACCACTTACAGCAAAGTCCTGTTCTTAGCATGGACAGAGAACTTACTCACTTAAAGCCCAGGCAGAGTAAAAATTTTGAAAGTAGTTTGATAGTTTATTAGTAATTAAGTTACCCACGACGTTTTTTAGTGAGAAATACGATAAATACTTCTTCTGATTGATAATTTAACTGACTGTTCAACTACGATATTATTCAGCTGGGTTATTGCAATGATAGCCATAGTGTAAAGCCTTATTGAACAGCTGTTTGCAGGACATAAATCCATTATTTCTTTAGTTTTCCTGTCGTCAAAACAGCTTTTTTCACCCCATCTCTACTTGCGCGTTCACATTTGTGCGCATTTTCACACGTTTGTGGGGAGCAGCCCAAAAGAAATCCACCACCAAAGGGAAAAAAAAAAAATGGAAAGAAAAAGCCTAAGACTTAATGTATGCACAGAAAATTGTAAACATGTAAAGAACTGAAAGCTTCACGCTGAGTTTCGCCATGCTCCATTTCCCCACCATTTCCTGCTGTCGTTCTAAAGCGATCTCACTCATCTAGAGATCCCGTTTGCAGGAACAGTATGCTTATAATTACTAACAAATCAAGCGGCTACTGTTGCTCTCCCGGTTTATTGATAAGCTGAAGAGAAATGGAAGTGGGAGAAATGACAAAGAGGCTGGAAATAACCACAGGAGGAGAGAAAGAAAAAGAAAAAGAAAAAAAAAAAAAGAGGGAAGAAAAAGAGATGAAGGGATGGAAAAGAAGAGGGGGAAAAAGAGACAAAGGAGGTAAATAAAGAATAATAAAAGAAGGGAGAAAGCAGAGATTTTGAAAGGGGGAATTATGTATTTGTGAGTGCTCACACACACGCAGCAAGTAGAGTTTGGAAGTGAAAGAAAATCGAACAGTTTCTGCTGGGGATGAAAAGAACTAAATGGGATAAAGTGAAAGCAGGAGCGATGGGGACGCTGCGTGGATACGTGTGTGTTATCCTGTGCCATTTCAGCAGTTGTGGCAGTCCCTGACCAACTGGGGAAGTTGACATTGTCTAAAAATACCCTCTGCATTCGGGTTTATTTACATACGCGCAGGGATTTGACACATGCAGCTGCACTCACGGACGTGGAGATCTCCTCACCCACAAAAGCTCCACGTTCTGTTATCTCTGCTGATGTCTGGGCTGTGTCTGAAAAGCTCCAGCCATGATAAACATATAGATATGATATAGATAGAGATAATTCATTCCATGGCAAACACTTTTTTTGAGGCAGCATTAGGTAATTTACAGAAGATATAGAGCCTAGATAGAATAGATCTCTCTGAAGCTATGAAATTGCAATAGATATGCTTACACCGCCTGGCAAGCCTCTCAAATGGGTTCGGAGCTATCAGGCTCCAGCTGATGGGTTTGTTCATACCGTCCTTTTCAGGGAAACACTGCTAGGAAAAGAAGCCGAGGAGCTCTCAGCATAGCAGGGAAGGGAGCCAGCCTGCTTCCCAAAAGCAATTTGTGAGGGGAAAAAAAAAACCACCGAGCACGTGAAAATCCATAATTCAAAGGTTAACTAATGTAATGAGTGCTCCAAAAGGCCAAAGCGAGCGGGGTGAGGTACATTTAAGCATTGCACGGGTCCTTCTCTCTTTAGTGAGTTTGGACTAAGATCAGATGTTCGTGGAATTGCTGCCTCTTGTTTAATTTCTCAGTTCACTGGACAGTGACCTGATAAACTGGTCACTAAATATAGCCACGGTAAAGGTGTACTCGAACCACAGAGCCCGTGTGTTTATCCCAAGGAAAAAAATGCCAGTCATGAAAATCTGTCTGGTGGCACTGCCTTCATCCAACTTTTAAAAAAATTTCTAATTTTTTCTACCTGATGTTTCACTCAGACAGATCATTGTGCATGAAATAAGAGATATATTTATGTATAATGAGGGGGAAAATACAAATACAATTTTTTGTCTGCTGGCACTGCCTCTGATATACAAACGAGACTTTTCCTATGGAATCAATGGCAAAAAAAAATTCCTAATAATAGCAACAAAAGCAGGAGCGGGCCTCTAACTCTTTTATAACTATTTCTGAGCCATTCTCAAACTATTTGAAACCGCCTTTATGAGCTGCATAAAGTGCCTAACTAAAAATAATAGAGAAATAGGAATCCATTTCACTTTCCTATTCCCTGAAGTCAAGCCACTCAAAATAATTTGTTTATACTGGAGACTATACACAAGGCATACGAAGCAATATGTATATCTAAAATCGACATGCCTTTTGGTTTTTAGCTGTTATAGGGCTTTTATTGTGGGGGTCTGGTCTGGCAGTAGGAAATGATCTGCAATAAAAACAGTGAAACACGGTTGTGTCTATTCCATGCACTGAGGTTATAAAATTGGCAATTGCCCAGTAGTTAGCACTTGGTAATATATTAGGATACCCGATCTTATTGTTTAGCAGCTCCAGACGACTTAAATATCCGCTCAACCCTAATGGTTTGATTCTCCAGATATGTTGCAAATAAACAGGGCTTTTATGACTTAACTGACATGTATTATAACTACCTAAATAGCTGGCATATGTGCATAATAGAACCTTATTATTTGCCGAATTGGTTTTGCAATTGATTGAGTGGAAACGGGAGATTGTGGAGCAGTATCTGCTTGAAGAGGGTGTGTAATCAATTAGTCTTCTCCTCTGAAACATGCCCGCTGGACTGCCAGGGCTCTCCCACCAGCGAAAGCCCCAGTTTCAGTGTATATTTTCTATAAGGAAACGTGTATTGCCTCGGATCCGAGAGGAAGCTGCAGTAGCAGCTGTCAGCTCTTATTAACTCCTGCATAAAACATACCTTAAGTATGGTTTGTTATCAATTACTTGCAGAAATGAAACAACTGGGAAAATGCAGCGAGGCTCCCTATAAATTAAAGCGATTGGGTGATTGATTAGAGCACCTGCTGTAAATCATAACAGTTACACACAATTATGAGGGAGTTATTTAAGTTCATTTGTAAACAAAATTCATGTCACGAGGGAATTGCTCTCAGTTTTAGTTCAACCTTTTTTTTTGGTTGTTTTTTTTTTTTTTTTTGGTTTATTTCTGAGTGTGTCTGGTTGCTATTATAGGAATTTGTTCCTTATAATCCCTTGGTTACTCTTAAAATAACCTCACTGGTTTCTCAGAGAAAATAAATACTTATTTTTGTCTTGGAGAGAACAACATGGTTTTATTTTGTTTAGTTTCACTTTATCATTTTCCTTTTACTTTTCCCTATAACTACCTTTAAATATGTGTTGCAGTAGCTGAATCAGTTTTATTTAGGGGCAGGAGAGTTCCTTCTAATTCACGGACAGCACAATATGATCAGAGTGGAGAGCACCATGGTTAGACCAGATATTTTTTTTCCTGGTGTTCATTTTTCTGAAGGAAAAGACTCATTTTATTTCATAAACCAGGCTTAATAAAAACACAAAGCAATAACAGAGCTGTCTTCTCATTGCTGTATCCTCCAGCCTTGATACTTATTTAAGACAGCAACTCCCTTTGTGTAGTGAATTTATTCCTGGCTCAACTTAGCAGTAATGGAAACACTAGCCAAAAAAAAGTAAATTTTCCTCTTTTTTTCCCCTCCAGAAAGGCGCTGTCCGTTGTACAAAAGGCATCGGGGGGCTCTGGGTGAGACACAGGCTCAAACCCGAAAGTTGCCAGGTGCTTGCCAATATGTATTTTATTTCCCAATGATCAAACCCTGCATAGAGGCTGTACTGTACCACCCTTCTCTCCATCCATCATTCATGGAGCACTTTCCTAGAGGTTGGGGGAGCAGCACCCTTTAGGTTGCTGGAGGTAGCCAGAGATTCAAAACTCCCTTTCATTTTGCTGTTCTGTGCATGTCAGAGAGACTGTGGTTATCCTGTTCTCCTTCGTGGCGTGATGGTTTCTCTCTCCCCTCCTCCCCTTTTCTTTCTCCAGTTCCGGTTCCTCCAAAATCTGTTACTTCTTTGATGATGAATAAAGATGGCTTCCTGGGTGGAATTTCAGTCAATACCGGAGAGGTGTTTTGCTCTGTACCTGGCCGCTTGTCTTTGCTTAGCTCAACTTCAAAGTATAAAGTAACTGTGGGAGAAGTTCAGAGACGCCTTTCCCCCCCAGAGTGTCTCAACGCATCCCTCCTAGGAGGAGTACTTAGAAGGTAAGAGGCTGGGGCAAACGTGTGAATGTGTCTGGGCCTCCATGCATGCACCAGAAACCCTTGGTCAGCAGTACAGATGATTCCAAATGTGCATTGATCCTACTGTCAGAGCCTGTGTGTGTAATGCTGGTGATAAGGCAAAAATATGCTGTCTTCAAACGCTGGGATGAATATATGGAAAGTATAGAAATATTTGGCCTTGTTTAGCCACGAATGAAGGAACTGAGACAGAAAGATTTCCTCCTTGTCCATGCACACACTTTCTTTCTTTTCTCCTCCTCACACTTCTCTCTCAGAAGGTGGACAAAATAAAATGCCCTGATGGGCGTGTTTCAGGCGGAACTGCAAGTATTTCAGGACCTGATGTATTTCTAGGGATTTCCTAGATAAACCCACGAGGTTTGCCCTAACGATCAGGCATAATTATGGCAATTATGACACGTGGTGTCACACAAGAAATTGGCAGGGATCTGATAAGCCAACTGTAAGGTAGGCAAGTACTTGACTAAAGAAAAGCCACCAACAGGTAGATCTGAAAGTCAGAAACTTTGTGCTTCACACAGAGAAAGTTGCTGCAGCTCACAGCTGCAGGTCTCGAGGCCTTTGCTGCTTAATATTTGTGCAAATCACCAACTAACGTCCTGGTGGATTTTGATGAAGACCTCAAAATAGTTGGCAGTGCTGGTACTGAAGAAGGTGAGGAGCAAGGAATAACCCTGAGGTTCGGTTGCCACTCCATCATAACAAGTGGGAGACTGGGCTTTTAAGTAGAAGCAGCAAGAGTTTAAGCTCTGAGGCCATTAGCTGGAAAGGCTAGCGGGGAGAAAGGGTTTTTTCTTATTGGCAGTGCCTGAGGGACTGCGAATTGTCAGCTCGGCTTGTCTGTGAGAAAGGTGAGCTCAGGCTCTGTCTCCAGTCACAACAGGGGAGAAGCCACGAGGTTACAATATGAGCTACCAGTTCACACACTCAGGCTGAGAGGGTACAGGATTTCATTTTCTGTGTGTGAGACTGAGACTGAGTCCAGACTGGAATAAAAGTCATAACTTTTAGACAGGGAAAGATGCATGCAGACTGGCAATGAATAAATTTCAGATCATGTTTAAAAGTTGCTAAACTTAAGAGGAGGGAATATCTTGAGAACTCCTAAAGCAGCAGCTGAGATATGCTGGCTCTAAGATGCTTTAAAATAAAGTCGATGTTTGGGGTTAACCCCACAAAAAAATTCTGTGGTGACGTCAAGGGCTCTGGCTCCGTGTCTGGAGATGGGGGGGAAAAGTTCTGCTACATCTGGTGAGACCCAAATGTCCACGTGAGAATCAGGGTCTCCTAAAATAGCTGCTGTTCCATGTGAATGTCTGTAATCATTGTTCAGCTGCCAGGGAGAGCAGCAGAGATTTTTACTTACAGATGCTAACCTGCCTGCTCCTTCTGTACAGCTACAAATGGAGCAGGGAGAACATCTGAGAGATGCTCTGTAGAAAATATAATTACCAAGGTAAAGAAGCATTATTATTGGACTTCAGCAGATTTCTGGACGAGGCCCAAGCCATAATTATTGGCTGCTGCTGACTTCAGTTCCTATCTTGAATCTAAATTTTAAACAAGGTTTTGGTTCAGAGCAGATGAGACGTAGAAAGCTGCTGTCTTGCAATTCTGCCATCCAGCCCTATTTACTTCGATATAAAATAGTGGGAAGCCAGTCTGGCTTCTCTGTAGCTCCTTATTTCCTTTCTCTAAGTGGGACTTCTAATTCTTAAATAAATTTTAAGTAAGAATTAGGAGAGAGTTGGGATAGACTTTGTTCTTAGGTGCCAAAACTCTCCCTAACTTCGCAGGTGGCAAGATTTCATCCCTGGGGGTTTACATATGTATGGGCGTTATAACAATAGCTCTGAATTTCTCATTCACCCTTTTATTGCCCTTATCAGTAACCTCCGACAGATATTCCAGTCTTCCCCCAGGCAATCCATTCCCTCTTTATAACGCACCCAGCCTCAGGTGAGCTCTTCCTCTCAGCATCGCCTTCTCGCACGAGAAAACACTCACAGGCTGGAAACAGCTTAATAAATATTTCCCTCCTTTTCAATTTATCCACAGGCGCACACACATTCCCTTCGAACCTTTCAGATTTATTTATTTTTTTTTTAATCCCCTCGTTTTATTCTGGCTCTTTCCTGGAATAACAGGGGATTTATTCCTCCTCTACCTTCCTGCCCATCCCTTTACTACATCTTAATACAAGCTGGTGTCATACCCACTTGCTCTCTAGATCAGAACCTTTTCATTAATTATTGCTGTTTAGCGTTGTTTGATTTCCCTGGATAAAATCGGGGGGAAAGTGGGTTCATTCCCGCTTCCACCCCTTGGGTGAAATTAAGAAAATCCCAGCAAACCCGAGCAGAAATCAACACCCCCAGAGTCCTTAACGTCGAGTGAAAACCCTCCCAGGCTTCGCTGACTGCACAGACTAAACGTTTCTTCCAGGAACACTGCGGGGTTAATCACGATGTTAATTTCTTTGCAATTCTAGAGCCAAATCGAAAAACGGGGGGAGATCTTTGCGAGAAAGGCTAGAAAAAATCGGTTTGAATTTACCAGCCGGCAGGCGTAAGGCCGCAAATGTCACTTTACTCACCTCCCTGGTGGAAGGTAAGTAGAGGGTCGCAGCTCCCTTCACACCTCTGCTCTTCACAAAAAAATCCAAAAAAACCAACAAAAAACAAACAAACCTCTTCCCCCCCCCCCAAAAAAAAAAAAACCAAAAAAAAAAACCACCAAAAAAAAAAAGACCTCCCAAAAAAAAAACAAACAAACCAACAAAAAACAAACAAACCTCTTCCCCCCCCCCCAAAAAAAAAAAAAAAAAAAAAACCAAAAAAACCCACCAAAAATCAAACAGCTCCCAACAAACAAACAAACAAACAAACCCCAAAAAACCACCAACTTTCGGGATCAGGTGGGAAAACCTTGTAGAAGTGAAAATCAGGGTGTGTTAGGAGGAACGCCGTCACGGTTGAGGATCCCATTCCCAAAAATGAAGTCACTGGCTGGAGGATCACTGGTTCCTCTTGGTGGCAAGAGTGAGGGAGTTTGTCTGTGTGTGTACGTGTGGATATGTGCGTGTACATTTGTGTGCATGTGTAACTCTGCAGGGCAGTACCACTCCTCATCCTATTAATTTCCACCCTGTGATCTCCGACTCCAGGTCTATTCCGTCCTCCTGATAATTCGCACTTCCTGAGCTGATTTATGGGCACTACAAGATGCTCAGTGAGGAAAAATAACACAAAGTTACTTTTTCCCCCTTTATTTTTGGTAAGAAAGCAGAGCAATTTAAGAGTAGCAGAGCTCGGTTTCCCTTAAGGTGGCTGGAGCTGAACAAAGAGACCAGCTACTCCTGAGGAAGGAGGGAGGGAAGGGCAGACTGAAGTTTCAAGTAATTTCAACTCAGCTAAAGACACTTTGGTGCCCAGCGTGTTTCTTTGATTTGTTGTTACTGTATCGACAAGGAAAAGTTAGAGCAACTAATAAGTTTAGGGTTATGTGCGTGTTTATGCTAAGAGAAGTTGGACTTTCTCCAAAAAAAACCTAACCGGAATAGTATGGATGCAATTATGAATTATATGTATCTGCATTACACACACACACACACCGAGAGGCGTATAAATAATCCACTTATCTCCTCTCCCTATAAAGCGAGCACAAATATTTGTGCTAGTTATTAACTTTTCCACTCTTTTGATTGAGTTATGCGAGCGACAAGACCTTGCCGCTTGCAGAGGTGGAGGAAGGCTCTCAAAAAGACGGGGGCTGAGGGGTGGGAGCTCCTCCTCCGCCCGCATGCGGGTGATGCCGAGAGTGCAAGGCTCAGTGTGGGTTACGGGTGTAGCTATAGAAGGTGTGAAGCATTTCGGGGAGCACAAGTGCCCCTGAGAGCCCACGGTGTGTGTGGAACACCTTGCGCTCTGCTGGCAGCAGCTCCAGCCCCTCCCCGACGCTGGTGTGAGGTTCAAAAGCCGGTGGGGTTGTGTAGTGATGCTAAAATCTGTGCCAAGTGTGCAGTAAGGTGTACATTCCCCTCCTCTTCTCCCCTGATTCCCTTACAAATCAACAGTTTGCCTCTAGAGAGTTCCCTCCTTTTGGAAGAAGCTGCACCTGGTGGAGTTTTCTCCCCTCCTTCCTGCCAGCAGCCGGGTTTAGCATAGCTGCTCCTGCATCGCCAGGAACAGGAACGCTCCGGTCGGTCCCGGCCCGCGGTGCCCGAAGGCTGCCTGGGAGGACCGTGTCCAGCTCGGGACCCCCCCTCCGGGCTCTGCCGGGTGCCCTCGCCTTCATTAACCGGTTTGATGATTAGCGAGAGCCATTGGAGAGCAGGAGGTGACGTTGGAAAGCAGCTCCTGACAGTTAAAAATAACGCGGTCCTGGAGTTATTAGACATACCTGCTTGCTGGAAATCTTCCCCCTCGTCCCTCGGGCGATGCTTTAAAGGGTTTAACGCTTTATTCTAGAGGGGCTGAGCTATAATCTGGTGGAATCCCTCTAGAGTCTGAGGGGTTTTTTTTCTCCCCCTCCTCTTTTCCTCCATTCTGCAGCTACTGTCTTCTTCTTGTGGCATGAAGTACATCAGTAGGAGTTGGATGACACAAACCTCTGTAGGCAAGAAACCTGAAACCAGGCAGGCAGGAAAAGTGAATTAGAATTAGTTAGAATAATAATTATTTTGTTCACAGAAAAAGTTGTCATTAGCTGTTATCTTTCTACCCGGCAGACAAGAGCTCTTATTGCAGGATGGTCAGTTAAAAATGCAGATTTTTAAACTGCCATCCCGCTAAATGCAGTTATCTCCACAATTTTACAGATGTGTTGATAACTGTGATAATGATGCAAGTGCCCTGTGTGTGAATAAATTGCGTCTATAACTTCCCACAAAGAATTAACATTAATATTAACAATATATCCACATCTGTAAAATTTTAAACAATGATCTGAGTATTGAAACAGGAATGCTTCTCTGCTCTTTAGAGAAGTTTGGGTCCTTAGTTTTTCGGGATTTGACCAGTCTCCTCTCGCTTTTTGCCTCGGTCCAGTTAACTTTAAAGGGTTGTGTGTGCGTGGTGGATGTGTGTGTGAGCTCTTCCCCCCGCTCTGCACAAGCAGCTGATGGGCGCAGACCCACAGGAGCACAGAGTAGCAAAGACAAATCTCATCAGCTCGAAATCTGTCCCATCGACTTCTGTCCCCAAAGTACAGAAAAACGTACTGGGGACAGTGGGGGGAAAACACACAGCTGGAGCCTGTCCCTGAGGTGGAAGGGATGACGAAAGGTTTCCAAACACGGCTCAGAGGAGATGGTGTCCCCCAGGGGAGCCGTGGGCTCCGCCCGGTGTCCCAGAGGGTCGGAGCCAGCCCAGCCCGGGGCCGGCGGCGCCCGGAGGTGTTAATTCCAGTCTCGTTCCCTCCAGGTGAGGCCGTTCATTTAGCTCGGGATTTTGGGTACATCTGTGAAACGGAGTTCCCAGCCAAAGCTGTTTCTGAGTACCTGAACAGACAGCACACGGACCCCAGCGACCTCCACTCCAGGAAAAACATGCTGCTTGCTACAAAGTGAGTGCCAAGTTAACTCATGTCCTTCTGCCCTTCTCAGAGAAAATCCTCCCTGTCCTCAAAGCCTTCCTCTGAGCCCGTTTGAAAAGCAGACGGGATTTCCAGGCTCTAAATTCCAGCAGCCCCGCGGGGAGGAAGGATGCTCAAATCGCTCAAAGGACCTCTGCACCCCTTTGCAGTGGGGATCCTGCCAACAGACCCTGCCCCTATAGGGATTACAGGTGGTGCTCCCCTAGCTGTTGTACATCACTTCCAAGCCATCCCCAGTTAAATAATTTTTATGTAAAGTGGACCAAAAATTTATAATTTGCTTTCACAGTATGTTTCTCTGTCCCTGCTGCTCACACACACCTGTCTGTCTGCTACCAAATTGCAATGCCTTTCCCATATGATTTAATTAAAAATATATACTAAAAAAAAAAAAAAAAAAAAAAAAAAAAAAAAAAAAAAAAAAAAAAACCCCCACAA